TACTTTAAGTGGTATTGGTAATGGAATTAATAATAATTTTTATATTTTTTAATGTTAATTAATATTAAAAATGATAATAATAATACTCTTAAAATTCAAGTTAAAAAATTCTTTATTTATAAAGAAAATTTTTAATATGTATTTTTAGAGTATATGATAAGTTATTACACATCTTTGTAATTAATTTGTATTTAAATATTAAAATGACTTTAATTTTATTAATTATTTAATTAAATTTAAAAAATATATATAGCATTAATAATAAAAATGATATAATTTTTTTTATACAAAAATTAAATGTAAACAAGAATGACTGATGTAGCATAAAAGCACATGTTAGAGGACCCATTTACCCAAGGCAATACAAGTAGGTTAACCCCCCAACTCGTTGTGTGGTGGTAGATCCACCCTTCAAGTCAATTCACACGCAAAAAAACCTCTTAACTCCTCTTCAGTGACAAATCAGCTCCTCTATGTAACATGACATCATTAATCTATTAAAACTTAACGTTTTGCTCATCACATCCTGTGTTGCATCTAACTTGGATTTTTTTATTTTTCTAAGATGGATGCTTTGTCTTTTATTACATTCCTATTCGATTGTCAAAGATGATAAGTTTCTCCAAATTTCGAAGACGTGAAAATTGGGCTTTTAGCAGCTAGTGAAAGCTTGCCCAAGTTCAGATTTTATCGTCCATAACCAAATTCAGATTAGTCACTAGGCTCAATACCCAAATACTTTATTTTCTCGCTCCTCTACTTTTATTCTCAAAACTATTGGTTAACGAGTATCTTCTCCTTCTCCCTTAACTGCTCCCTTGCTCTAAAATGGAATCATCGTCACCAGCAGCACAATCACCCAAATCTCCATCGTCTCCGTCCCTTACCACTTCCTTTATTGGTACCTATTGCAACTGTGGAAGCCCTAACTCTTTAGCACCACCTCCCCAATCCCCTACCGGTTGGTTGGAATTGTCACCTCCCTCAAACTACAGGCTAATCTGAGCTCTAGCCATCAATCTTTCTCCTAATAACAACTCCCAAGTGATCATCCTTGCTCTTATGCCTCAATCCCAAAAGGTCCCATCCATTTCTCTTCCTTTCCACTTCCAATCACCTTCCAAGAAAATCCACTCCCTCGACGACATTCACCAATTTCATGAATCGACAACATGCAAGAATTTCCTCAACTTCATTGTCACCCCTCAGAATCAATTCAAAGCCACAAGATCTTTGATTTGTGCCATGAATCCTCCACCACTGCTAAAATTACCTCCATCCTTGAAATCTTAATCCATTGGATTGATGAAATTCCCCCAGTTCAACAATCATTTTGCTATGGTAACATCTCCTACAAAACTTGGTACGAGCATATAGGAATGTAATAAAAGGCAAAGCATCCATCTCAACAAAAGCAAAGTAAGACATGATCAACAAAATGTTAAGTTTTAACAGATTGATGATGTCATGTTACACAGAGGGGTTGATTTGTCATCAAAAACGAGTTGAGGGGTTCTTTTGCCTGTGAATTGATTTGAGGGGCTGATCTGTCACCACACAACGAATTGAGAGGCTAATTTGCATGTTTGGCCTTTACCCAAGACCCAAGATACTTTTTTTCTTTTTTCATAATTATGAAAACACCTCTCTATTGTTAACTTTCAAAAAAAGCATATTTCATTATATAGGAGATTTAAACTTAAAAGTTTATTTTAAAAAATTACATTTTTTATTTAAATTAATAGATAATTGTATCTATTATTACTATTATACTAGTACACTATTATTTATAATAGCATTCTTTTGTACCTGATAATAATAATTATATAAAAAGTTATAATTCTTTTATTTAAAAAAAAAATTTATCTGCACCTGGGCCTAGAGGCCCACTGACATTAGACAGCTTGCTAGGTGCATTCCTCCTCCTCTGGTGGGTTTTGAACCCACCCCATGTCAAAATGTTCAAAAAAAAAAAAATTTTTGTATGATTTAAAATTTAAATTTAAAATTTTTTAATTTTAAATTTAAATTTTAAAATTTTGAATTATCCTTAAGCGGATTACTTTTAGCTGCATTTAAGTGCTTAGTAGTAGTATTATTAACATAAAAAAAGTATTATTAATAAGGAAATTACCCACATTAAAATAAACAAAATGTGTAGATCTAGCCTAGCCCTTTTTTTCCTTTCTTTCCCAAACTCAAACACCGTACATCCCAAATCCCACTCCGAACAACACACAATGCCACCACCTTCATTCTTCCTCTAATTTCAATTCTACCCACATGGGTTCTAATCAATCCCTACAGGAAGTCCAAGACGACAGAGAAGAAAGCGAGGGCCAGGAGGAGGAGGAGGAGGAAGAAGAAGAAGAAGACGAAGACAACAATGGACAATCCAACACAAACCAACTCCAGACTAATCTCTTGGTCAAGAAGGTTCTCGAACAGGAACCCGAAGTCTTACCCTGCCACGCATCCGCATCTCCCCTCTCTCCCCAGCTCTCAACATTGGGCACTCCTCGTTTGGGTCCCTCCATTAAAGTTTATGACCCTTTCAACGTCCTCGCTCCACCTCCCCCGCTGCTTCCTCCTCGTGTTTTTCCCACCACAACTTTTTCTATCGATGATGATCCAAATCGGACGCTGCTTGAGGTGTACCTGATTAGCCACGGAGAGTGCGACTTGAATTTGAGGCCGGATTTTGTCGGCGGGAGATGCGACGGGGCTGCCTTGACGGCTAATGGGAAGCGTCAAGCTAGGGCACTCGCTGTCTTCTTGAATTCTCAAAGGGTGAGATTTAGTGCGGTTTACTGCTCGCCGTTGAATCGGGCAAGATCGATGGCCGTTTCAGTTTGTCAGGTGATTGGAAATTTTCTATTTTTATTTTTTTGGGCAAAAGTTGCTTGCTTTGTATTTTTGAATCGAAACCTGTAGAAAATGCACTTCTGTTTAAGGACAAGATTATAAAACTGTGCAAATGCTTATTAGGATTCAAATTTGGGATTTAAATACCATTGGGATCTTGCATTTACAACAAGAGATGGGAAATCAGTGTATGGGATTAGAGTACCGAATCTGCAAGGACCAGACAAGATAAAGAGGAGTATCCATAATCTATAATATATATTACTTAAACCGTCAAACTATCATTGTGCATAAGTTATGGTATTCCAATCATAGTTAAAGCAAGGGCCTTTCTGTCTAGTGATCCTATATGACAAAACTGCCCATTTTGTTGAAATACTTGTTTGTTTATAAGAAAGAATAGATTTTATTGATGAATGAATATTGTTATGTTAATGAGTTATATAATTTATACACTATGAGGCAGTCTATCTCTAGATGAATCATTTATGCCATTCAGGGGATGTCCACGAGCAGTTGAAGCTTCATCTGCTTTTTTGGTATCTATAGACTAGGTTTCAAACCCTAGACATATGACTAAGAGCACAAATATCTTTGCCACCAGATCACATGGCTGATGGTAGTGATGGAGAAGAATTGATGCTACACTAAGTATGTCTTATCCTAGCGGAAGGAACCGCTGTCAAGATGAACCTAAATAAGAACAAGAATAAAACTAGTGAAATTGACATGGTGTCCTATCCTATAGTTTCTTGAGTCTCGGAAGTTGTCATTAGCTATTTTAGCTCAGTTTAGTTGATCTAGTTGGTATTGCATGCAATAGTGGCTGTCTAGTGTATGTACCTCTACTGTTTGAACACAATGGTTTGTTAGTGTTCTGTCAAATATTCTCTGTACTTCTTTCACATTGCATTTCCTGGTTGTTACTTCCAGTTAGAAGCAGTCTAAATGTTCACATAAGGCTTGACTTTTGCATATTTACTTCTATAGTTTACTAAACAAATTGTCCGTATCTTAAAATCATTCAGGAGATGAATTTTGCTAAGGAACAGATACAATCATCAGATGCCCTTTTGGAGATGAGTATGGGGCACTGGGAGGGCTGTCTCCGATCGGAAACATACACAGCAGATATCTTGAGCCTAATTGAAAGGTACCAGCCTGATTTTTCAGCACCTTCAGGAGAATCACTCAGGCAAGTGGAATTTCGGATGGTTCAGTTCTTGAATAAGACTCTTCTTGGACTTCCTGAAAAATTAAGACCAGAATTTTTGTCACACCATCGGAATAACATTCAAGGTTTTTCACTCCAGAGCTCCCATTCTTTAACCAACTCTGTCCACGACAGAGATGAATCTTCTCTTCCTGCACCACACTGGGATACAATTCAGAGGCACCGACTTGGGCTATCAAAAAAGAAGTCTGGTAAGAGCAGGTTGCAATTTGTGTCAAATACTGGTGATCATGATGCTGATGATGAAATGTCTCCTCGGGAAGCCAACCGTCAAACTGACCTCAATGACTTAAATGTCAGAAGTACTTCTTCCCCTTACTTATCTTCCTCTGTCTTCTCTTGTATTGGTGTTTTCACTCATTCCTTGCCAATTAAGTGTCTTGTCACGGGCCTCCTTGGTTGCAGCCCAGCAATGTCACATAAGATCTGCATAGAAGATTCTTCTGTAACTGTATTGCAACATTCGTGGAAAACAGGTTGGCAGATAAAACGGTTGAATGATACCACACATCTTAGGCTTCTCTAGTTGGAGAATTCTGCTATCATACTGGGGAAATTTCTGGTAAAAAAATGGAAATTTTCAATTATTGGCCAGAAGCTGGAATCGCTATGCCTCATCATTTGAACTTGTATGTTGCCACTCATGCTCTCACGTTAATTGTTGATTCTTCCATGATTTGTTGTAGTCTTCAATATATTTATTTTCAGATTCACCAACTCCAACGAGAAAAGAATTCTTTTGGAAGTTGGATGATTCTTTTTTTGTTTGTAGCGCTTAGAAGAATTGTTATCATAGAGTAAACTATAATGTATTCCTATATTGGGAAAACTTGATATTTTTCAATATCAAGAATTATGACAAGGTTGCGCTTCTTTTTTTTTTTTTTATCTCTTTTCATCTTTACAACATGAGTTAATGTTTAATGCATGTATGTATATCCTTTAAGCTCAAATTGTTCACTCATTGCCTGACTCCAAATATTAAGATACACCAACATGCACACATGTTGCTCATTTTTATCTTTTCACCTTGCTTCTTGGTTGGATAGTGGCTTAGATGTTGTCATACACCATCTGCTAGGCTATTGCTGGTTGCTTCCATCACATATTTGCATTTTGGAGTCTTGAATTCTAATGAATTTCGGTTGCGTCCTCTTGATATGTCTTGTTATGCAAAGCATTATCTTTGTACAATGTTTTGAACATTAGTTTATGAAGGTTAGATGAATGATTACTTGAATTCAACGTTAGATTGGGAAACTGCCGTCTCCAACCAATCTCATCTAAGCATTTCTAGTTTCTCTGTAAGATAATGTTTTATTAATTCTACAGTTTTCCTTTTGTTGGGTAATTTCTCGATCAATGTCAGGTAGGAACAAATCCCATCTATTTTGTTTTACTTATCTTTGACTTTGGATCCTTCTGATGGATGCTGAAACTTGATCCTTAAGCCCAGGTGTGATTTATTTTTCTTTTCAGTAATGATATATACACATTTTTTTTTTTTTTTTACAAAGAGTTAGTCATAAAATAACACATTAGATTGTGTATGGTAAATGGCTTTGTAACATCTCAGTTTTGTTTTCTTTAGCGGAAGGCATGGGATGAACTGCTTATCATGGATAGAAGCAAGAAAACAAAAAGATACAGACCCCTTATAAAATTCCATACCTTTATCATGTGAAGACAGCACCCTTCTGCCATAATAACCTCTTGCTCCCACATAGAGAAGGAGAGAGAAAGGAATATAATTAATGTAAAGGACAAACCAAGGGAAACCGTAGGTTTTCAATAACTCTACCTAGAAACCAGGCAACATTAAAGTTTCCTTCGTTTATCTCGTGATAATTGATTGCAGCCGCAGGAGATCAAACCAAACTCCCTACCACTATATATTTTTATCCCTCAATTCAGCTTTGGGAATTCTCAGGTATAAACATGGCTGCTACTACTAAAATGCTTGCTGCTACCATATCTCTGCTCATCTTCTTTGCTACTTTGCATTTTCTAAATGGTGAGCCTGAGCCAACTATTTCAGCTTCTCCAGCAGTTTTACCCTATGTAAACGCGTCCTCATTTTTTCCTTCTTCACCAAATACGGAGGATGCTCCTCCAGATGCAGAAGCATTTGCTCCGGCGCACATCTCTGAGGAGAGTTCATCCAGTTCAGCCATGTTTAATACGCTAGCTGCAATGGCACTCCCATTCTTTTCTGGAATTCTGTATCTTGCTGCGATAAGATATGTGATTTGAAGTTTGCTTGGTTACATCTTCTAGTAAGCCTAATGCAGTTGCATTCTATTATTACTGTACTACTAAAATATTGTATCAATGAATTGTTATTTTATTTTATTTTTTTGGTTTTGTTTATGATGGATATTTGGTGGGTATAAATATAATTATATAATCAGAAAAGTGACAAACAAACTACAAAACTATAAACCCTTACATAATGCACTATTACTTTTATACTACTTTTTATTTTTCAATAATTAAACTTGCGCAAGGTCCTAATATAATGTCATATAATAACCAGTGAAAAAATTGGTTGAACTTGGGTTTTCTGTCTTCAAGTCTTCAGTTCCCCCCGGCAGAAAAAACCTCAAAAAACCTCTGATTCCTAGTCCGAGGCTAGTTTGCGAAATCCTAGGAAAAAGGGGTAAGAAGAGAGAGAGAGGAAAGAATGAATGAAGAGTTCATGTCGAAGTTCAGTTTTTGTCAAAATCCCATACAAAATCTACTGGAAACGTCGATATTCAACAAAGACAAACCTCACAACCTGGTTCAACAAATACGTGGATAAGAACGATGTGTTCTCCTGGAACTCGGTCATCGCTGAGTTGGCTCGGAGCGGAGACTCTTTGGAAGCCCTCCGCGCTTTTTCTTCAATGCGGAAGCTCTCTCTCCAGCCCAATCGCTCCTCTTTCCCTTGCACTATCAAATCCTGTTCTGCTTTGCTCGATCTTCAATCGGGCAAACAGACCCATCAACAAGCCTTCATCTTTGGCTATGAATCTGACCTTTTTGTCTCATCAGCTCTCATTGATATGTACTCCAAATGCGGCCAATTGAGGGACGCACGTATACTGTTCGACGACATTCCTCAGAGAAATATCGTGTCTTGGACCTCAATGATCACCGGGTATGTACAAAACCACAATGCCCACGAAGCCTTATCTCTCTTTAAACAGTTCTTGATAAAGGAGAGTGAAATTGGTGGTGGTGGTGGTGGTGGTGCTGCTGCTGCTGCTGCTGCTGCTGACGGGGAGATATTTATCGATTCAGTCGCTATGGTTTCTGTTATTTCTGCGTGTTCTCGCCTTCCAGCCAAGGGTGTCACTCAAGGGGTTCATGGACTGGTAATAAAGAGGGGATTTGATATAGATGTGAGTATTGGAAATACTTTACTGGACGCTTATGCAAAGAGCGGCGAGGTGTGTGTGTCTCGGAAGGTGTTTGATGAAATGGCAGAGAGGGACGATGTTTCTTGGAATTCTATGATTGCTGTGTACGCACAAAATGGATTATCTGCTGAGGCTTTGGAGGTTTTCTATGGAATGGCAAGGGAGTCTGGAGCCCGTTACAATGCAGTGACATTATCAGCTGTACTTCTAGCCTGTGCTCATTCTGGGGCTCTGCGAGCTGGCAAGTGCATACATGATCAGGTACTTACTTTCCTTTACTCTTGATATTAATCATTCACCTGCTTAAGCAGGTTAGGGCATTTATTTATATGAATGTTCTTTCAATGTTCAAATACTTAATTTGGCGGTCTATGTTATTTTTATTTTTATTTAGGTTATAAGGATGGGTTTGGAGGACAGTGTAATAGTAGGTACCTCTATTATTGACATGTATTGTAAATGTGGAAAAGTTGAAATGGCACGAAAGGCATTTGATTGCATGAAGGAGAAAAATGTTAGGACGTGGACTGCCATGGTTGCTGGCTATGGAATGCATGGCCGTGCCAGAGAAGCTCTAAAAGTCTTCTATGAGATGCTATGGGCAGGGATGAGACCCAATTACATAACATTTGTTTCAGTTCTTGCTGCTTGTAGCCATGCCGGTCTGGCACAAGAAGGTTGGCATTGGTTCAATGCAATGAAAAATGAATTCAATGTAGAACCTGGCGTGGAGCATTATGGATGCATGGTTGATCTTCTCGGGCGAGCCGGATATCTTGATGATGCTTACAATCTGCTGAAGGGCATGAAGGTGAAGCCTGATTTTGTAATATGGGGTTCACTTCTTGGGGCTTGTAGAATTCACCACAACGTGGAGCTTGGGGAGATAGCAGCAAGAAAATTGTTTGAATTGGACCCAAATAATTGTGGATACTATGTCTTGCTGTCTAACATATATGCTGATGCTGGAAGGTGGAAAGATGCTGAGAGCATGAGAATACTCATGAAGGATCGTGGGCTGGTTAAACCGCCTGGATTCAGTTTGGTTGACCTAAAAGGCAAGGTTCATGTGTTCCTGGTCGGAGATAAAGATCATCCTCAACATGAGAGTATTTATGAGTATCTCGAAGAAATAAATGTGAAGTTGCAAGAAGTTGGTTATATCCCCAATAGGACGTCAGTTCCTCATGATGTTGATGAGGAAGAGAAGGAAATGAGCCTCCGTGTTCATAGTGAGAAGCTGGCCGTTGCATTTGGCATAATGAATACGGTTCCAGGTTCAACAATCCAGGTGATTAAGAATCTTAGAGTTTGTGGTGATTGCCATGTATTCATTAAGTTGGTCTCAAAGATTGTCGAAAGAGAAATTGTTGTGAGAGATGCAAAGCGATTTCATCACTTTAGGGATGGATTCTGCTCGTGCGGAGATTATTGGTGACGCATAGCCGAATCGGCTCTGTTGAGAAAATGAGGCACAATCCTTTCTAATGGAATCTTGTTGTGTATTGTGAAGTCGTTAATTTGCTTAAGTGCATTGTATCCAAATCCAAAAAATGAGCCTCCATTTTTTTTTTATTTTTAACACAGCAACAATTGTGAGCACACGCTGAGGGACATAATTTTCCTCCTTGGCTAGCTACTTTGGTTGGATGCATCAATTTTCAGATCAATCATCCAAGTGTCTATTTCTCATCCAAGTTACTGTTACACAGACCGTTTTCTCACTTTCTCAAAAACACCTAATATCAACATAATTTCTCACAAACTAACGCACATCTTTTCAGTACAATTTCTGATTCTCTCAGCCAGTATTTCACTTCATAATTGTTGTGTGGGAATCAGAAGGGTTTACCAGTTACCAAGCCTAATATGACTGCCAACACGTTCATTTCTCAACTAAGTGACAATCTCTTGACAGGAATGAGCCAGGACAATGAGCTTATAGCACTCCAAGCATGGCTCGAACGTTTTACATAGCAATTCGCTGACATTTGACAGTCTGCAACAACATCTGGAGCTGCCATGGTGGGGGGTTCCTCCACCTCCAGTTTTTCATCTGCCAAAACTCTCAGGAACTCCTCAAGTGCTTCGCGCATCCACTCATACCGGCAGAGTTGGAAGGCTTCTTGGATGTTTAACTATAGGACAAACAGATGTCTATGAATCAAATTTAAAAGCAATAAATATATGTAGCGTTTAGATTCTCATCAAGCTAGCTCCTTCTTTACCCATTTCCTCTCGTGATTTTCCTGCTCTGGCCAGGTGTCAAGCTCCTCAGTAACCTCCAATGCAAACATGTATCCTCTGCAGCCTCCTTCCAGGCTGCATAGATCCTCTCTGCTCTTGCTTCTAAACTCCCAAACTCCTAGGGGAACTTCCTAAATTATCAAGGAGAACCAGCTACCATAAAACTTTCAAGACAGGTATCTTTATAATTTTTCACAGAAAACATTACACTTTAGAGGCTAAAGGATCTGCTCCTCCTTGTGCATTAGAATTTAGAAATGAACATAAGCATGTGACAATAAGCTAGCTCTTAATTAATTTATTGACTTGAAAAGCAGAAATAACAGAACCTACTCTTAGTATTCCTCTTACTCCTGCTTCCTCTAAGGCTTCACGACATGCTGCTTCTACAACAGTCTCATCATCCTCCCATCCACCCTGACAGCAAAAAAATCAGAACAAGATTAATCACCAAAAGCAGCATGAAGAGAAAGCTATGTATGTACCTTTGGAAAGACTAGGTCACTGCGATTTGGTGAAGAGACCATGAGAACTTTTATCCTGTGACACAGACCCTCGTCATCATCCTTTGTTAGCCTGTAGGGAATACATCTGTTGCAGGTGCCACATGAGTCAGCACAAGTACGTACGTACGTACATTCTTGCCAATCAAAAGCATCAGTTTTCAGGGATATATTAGATAGATATAAAGTACTAAGGTTCTACTTTGTGAATCTAAGTGCGTAATTAATTATTCTTGGATGCTAAAATTTTCTGATTTAAAGCTTCATATTATCATGCAAATATATACAGTTTGCGTGGATTAATACTCTCGTGTCTAAAATTTAAAATTAAGAGGATTTGCCATGTATAAGTTGGGATGCCCGCCCTGGATACGGAAGAGAGTTGTTCACCAAGATTGGTTTCTGTTGTTAATCGATCGGTCCATATATGAAAGCACTAGGTAACTTTCTACACATGTCTTGGTTAGTTGAATTTGGGAGTTGGGAGCACCTTATACATGTTTGTGATCATGGAATCTTAACCCATTAGGCAGACTGAAACAGGACTACACAAGCATAATCAATTACTCAATTAATTCTGAAAACGTAAGCATTCTCTAAAGAAATCCACAAGTGGAAATCAAAGTGAGTGATATCATCTAAATCTCTAATAAAATTTTACATCTTTCCATTCCCCCACCTAACCTGAAGGAAAGACTGATGAAACAATTTCATTAGGTAACTATATATATCAAGATGAGTAAAGAATTCCAATTTCCACATACAAACGAAATGTATGAAGTCAATGATTACGCAAAAGCCTAAAAAACTATGGCAATGAATAAAGTCAATGCAAATCAAAATAAACTCCAAGACATCAAAATAAGGTGAAATCTACTATAATCTTCTCCTTGTTCACCCAAACCATGATATCTGCTTTTACTGGCACTGGCATGGCAGATTAGCATATATGCAGAAAATTAATTAACCCTAACATTAGGCTTGCCTTTGTTTGGATAAAGTATGTTTAAAATAGATTTCATATTAAGCATAGAATTTCAATCCCCTCTGCTAATTAAATTGCTTTGGTTTGTTTTTCTCAAAAAAATGATTTGGCTTCAATACAAAAATTCACATTCTCCCCTTCATAAATAAACCTTCCCCCCTGGAATTTTGAAATTCTTTCCTTAATATGAAAACCTTAATCCAAAAGCAACATGACAGAATTTTTGAAGAATTCAGATTTAACCGAGATCGGCGATAAAATAAAAATTAACTTAAAAGAAAAAAACAAAAATGAAGAATACCCAGAAACAAGTCGAAAATTGTTCTCATAACGCTGACGGTCTCTCCCGGTTCTTGCTAGCAAGACGGACATGGTATTCTACAGATGAAACAAATATTTAATTCAAATCCAACGTTGAGTCAAAAATCATAAAAAAGGTAAAGGAAAGGAAGCATACCCACCAAGGAATTGGAGCTACTTTCATAACCAGAGAAGATGAAGAAGTCTATTCATTTCAGGATCAAGACAATATCTATCAATCATCTAATGTATTAACAGCTTTCTTTTCTTTCCCTCCCCAGGAGTAGCATCAACAAATTTTGTCTTTCTTCCTGCCTGCACTGCCTCCAGCAATTTCCAAAACAATGGAAGAGAGAACCAGAGTTTTTGGCGGGCCATTGCAACCGCAATCCATTTATTTATTAAATAACAGTCCTCATCCTTAGCGCAGGAGCCGTTTTTTTTCCGAAAAAGAAAAAAAATTAAGAATTATAAAAAAATAATAGTGGTACTGTAATTGCTAGTATAATAATAATAAATAAATATAAATACTGTTTAATTGTATCATTATTAGGGGCCCAAATGGGATTTAGAGGAAGTCAACTAGAAGGGATATGTAAAAATAAAAAAAGAACTATGTGTCTGTTGTTATTATTTTATTTTCAATCAAATAATTTGGGAAACACAACTAACTTCAATCCATCCACCACATGCTAACCGACAATCGTCTCAGTCACATGCTCAACCCCTCCCTTCAACAATTCTTCTTATATCAGTTTGCCATCGACAATATATAACTTTACGAGGCCATATATATAAGATATAACATATAAATTGGTTAAGAAATTATACATATATTTTATAAAGTTATAAAATCTGTTACATATGAACGAAATTTTATTATTTGATCTTATTATAAATTGATGAGTTTTATTATTTATATTATTAAAATTGATAATTATTAACATATAATAAAATGTATAATTTTATATGATATATATATTATTATTCAAATTGACATGTTACCATTCATATTGAATACCCCACCAAATGAGAATACATCATTGCCATGATAACAAGTACATTCATCTCAAAATACTCCTGTGTTTTAAGACAACCAAAATCAGCCAACCGGGCCTGTGGTCAATTGGTTGGCCCCCAAGCTTTAGGGATTGGGTGAGACGGAGGTCGAACTCTACCACTGCCGTGAATTCCACCAACTTGCGCCTCAAATGAGGGGTGGAACGTTCACTTTTCTGGAAAAATTCCAAC